CAGAGGCCACCAAGGGGGTGAGTTGGAGCCTTAAAGGGCAGTACCCTGAAATAAAAGTGGATTGGAAGGAGACCAACTTCATAAGGACTGAAGCCCAGCTTCATCTCAGCCCCTGGAATTACACGAGAATGATCCAGGACTGCAAATATCCATGGCTGTCTGACAGAAGCTAGTGGAAATTTCCTCTAGAGAAAGAGAATACAAGCAAGAGCCATAAATTATTTCCATAATTTTCATAATAACATCCTGTTCTCAGTAGAAAAAATTAAACAACACGGAGAGACAAAAACTAGAGACAGTAGAAACAGATCCAGACACATAACTTTAAAAGAAATAAACTTAAAATATTTGTGGAGATTAAAGATAAGATTGAGAACTTTGGCATAATATTTCTTGAAACTATAAGAAAATCTAAGTGAAAGTTCTAGCAAATTCAGTGGCTGAAACTAAGATTTTAATGGCTGAAACTAAGATTTTAATGGATAAGTTTGAAGGAGATTAGGCAGTATTGAGGAGTATACTAATGAATTATAAGGTAGGTAAGAAGAAAATTTATTCAGTAAGGCACAGACAGAATAAAGAAAAAAACAAGAGAGTATGTAATACATAATGTATAGAATGAGAAGGATAAGGTACATGTATGTGGAGCTACAGAGAAGAGAGAGAGAATGAGGTAGTATATGAAAAAATATGGCAATGAGTAAGATAATGGATAAAAATGTTCCAAACTGAAAAAGTGTATCAACTACAAATGCTAGAAGTCCTATAAATAAATCCCAAGTATGATAAATAAAAAGAAAGTCACTCTTTGTCACATCATAATAAAGTTACTAGAAATCAAAAGAGAAAATATTAAAAGCAGTGAGAGAGGATAAAAAGTACAAATTAACTCCAAAGAAGTACAATTAGATTAATAACTGACTTCTCAAGAGAAGCATTAGACTAACAAGAAGATAGAAGACACTGAGGTAATATCTTCAAAGTACTGAATAAAAAAATAACCTACCCATTAGGATTCTGTGTCCAGTAAAACATCATTTAAGAAAGAGGGTGAGGGACATTTAAGAAAGAGGGTGATTCAGTGGATTAAGCATCTGCCTTTGGCTTGGGTCATGACCCCAGGGTCCTGCTCAGCAGGGAGCCTGCTTCTCCCTCTGCCTGCCCCCCCCCCCGCTTGTGTGCTCACTCTCTCTCTCTCTCTGACAAATAAGTAAATAAAATCTTTTTTAAAAAAAGAATGAAGGTGAAAAAAATATATCACTAGCACTAAATGAAAAATTAAAGGGAGATCTAGGAGAAAGAAAATGCTCACAGGTGGAATTTCTTATTTTCTTCTGTACTATCTTCTGATTCACTAATATCTCTTCAGCTTTGTCATATTTGTGTTAAACTCATCCACTGAAATCTTAGCTGTTGAACTTTTCAATTCTAGATGTAGAAAAAATTGAGCAAAAGAAAGTCAAATATGTAGGTAAATTTAAATTACCTTTGACCATGTGGTAGTAGTGGCAGCAGTAGTAGTAATGATGTCATATATAATAATTCTGTATTGAGTACATGTAATTAAATACATGAAAACACTAAGGAGGATGATCTAAAGGTACACTGTGAATCACTTAACTTTAATGGAAATTCTCAAAGGGATCACTCAGTAACCATTTTTAGGTAATGAGTCCAAAGTAAGCTTCAGGCTGAACTTTCCAGCAATCAGGACAGACCCACAATGTCCCCTGGGCTCTCAGGTCATCATAATTTGCCATCTCATTGGCCACCTTAACCCACAATAACTTCTGAAGGGCTAGACCTGAGCCTCCTTTGTCAGGATGGTGCTCTTAGCAATATATTAGCAGTCATACAGAGGGATATATGCAGAAATGATGGTGTAATTATGCTAGGAGAAATATGAAAGAAATTGCTTTATTACTTGTTAGGAATTTGAAGTTTTCAAGTTTTCCTTTGTCACTTTCTGGAGTCATTAAGGGATAAGTTTAAAAATGCTGTCAAAGTTTAGAAGAGTTTCCTGAAGTCTTCATTTGCAGAGACTTTTGAGGACAGAGCTTACATATTTCTCTTTATGCACAAAAAGTCTTTTAAATAGATAATGCAATGCCAGTTCATGTGACTGGACAGTTGTGGCACATTTTCTCTCTTGTACACTTCTCCTGAGATCTGTGGCATATGTACCAACTCAGAAAAACAGGATGTATTCTGCACCAGGAAAACCCAGAAATATGGTAATATTTTTCTTGTGTTCTCTGATGGGTTTCTCTGTTCCTGTGCTCCCTGTGTAGAATCCTTTCTGCCTCAATTCCTGCCACTTGTTATTTCCTCATCAGGCACTTCCTTTTTCTTTAACTTCTCTCATCTCATCTCTGTTTCCCTGGGCTGGACGTCATGGTCTCCCTGTTTCTCTCTGACATGGCATTCATTTCTGTGACCTGAAATGTTTTGGTCTGCTCCTCAAAATCACCTCTCTTCCTCCTTTTGGGAAAATTAAACACTTGCATTGGGCATGAAGAAAAGAGAATCTAATGATTCTTTAGCATTCAAGATTCTTAAGTCATTACACGTTTTCAAGTAATTATTTTTAGCATTCATTTTACGTATGAGACAACTGAGACAAGATCTTTTTTATATCTTGTTATATTCATTGTTTCTGGTGCTAAAACACTACGTTATACCAGAAAACTGGAAGTTCAGGGAGACTAATACCTGAGAGCTGTCTGTAAAAGGCGAGATGGGGATAGGACATCAATGATACACTTTGAGTACTCTGTGACTCACAAATAACCAACCCTCTTCAAATACTCCAAATGCACAGGGTCCAGAAACTAATTACATCTTTAATTATAGGTATTCTCTACAATTATGTACCCTGAGATATGTGGAAGTTCAGGGCATGGAACACTACATTGAGGCAAACCTTTCCAGTTGGCAAAATTTTTCAGTACCCTTTATACATCTGCTTTCATGCAAGCCCCAAGTGTCCAAATTCCTTACTGGTTCCTAATCAGATCTGTTCCCTGTAAGTAGTAAAGCCCTAGACTATTCTTCTGAGTTTCATTCATTTACTTACTCATTCACTCATTCATGTATTCATCTTTATTTTTAAATAATACTTCTTGAGCAATTCCTTTGGGCCAGTTATAGTGCTAGGTACTCTTGTGTGTCTCATCTTAAAAGAAACTCTTCTTAGGCAGCTTTTCTTTGGAAATTACCTAGTCAGCTAACTCCGCCTAATTGTGATAATAAATGAAAAATAGTGGTAATGTTTTCAGAGCTGTTTCCATTCTAAATTTGGACTCACAGGCTGAATAACCAAAGCATTGAGAATAATGAAATTGCAGCACCAGGTAAAAATATAAGTGATTTTATTTACTTATGTGACCACTAAAATAACTCTAATATAGTAAGTCTATACCTTTGAGGAAGTATGACCCCTGATAGAGTACAATTTCCAGGTTTGTCTTTCATGAAAATGTCCTTTGGTCTCTATTTCTAAGAGAGAAAATTTCCCCAAAGTTTAAGGAATTTCTAGTGCTAGTAAGTGGGGCCCCATTTGGAGATGAGCAACCTTTTTTTTTTGCTGCCCTCCAAAATTATAATGGGTGGTTCTCTGTCTGCATTTCATGGTTTGATTCCTTGCTTTTCTAGCATCTTCTGCCAATGGTGTAATATTCTCAGGATAAATCCAGGTTGCTATAGCTAGAGCTACAGTGGTGAACAATAGAAAAAAAGTATTAGCATGGAAAATGCAATCCCTACATGACTTGAAGTATTTAGGTTTTTAGAAATAATACACACAATTTAGCCTTCTATTTCATCTTTTAGAAATCAAGGGAGAGGTCTATATCCAACAGAAATTTTCAAACGCTACCTTAACAGCAAATTCTCACACTGATATTCAAACTTGTCTTCTGGATCACTGAATTTGAAGTTTTTCTTTAATTCTGTGCTAGTTATTGTTCAGCTAGGTGAGAAGGAGAGGTAATGTGGACTTGCTTACTAAGAATAGCTTTAATTCTGGGTGTTGTTTGGATAAATAATGGGAGAGAAATCATAAGTCCTTTGAGAAATTGAATGTGCCCATCTTGCAGTATGAATGGAAGAGATAGAGGAGGACGTGAAGGGACAAGATGGTATAGTCAGTGGTGTTGAGTTATTTTGAGTCTATGGTTATATGGGTTGTCAGCACAAAGTAGGGAAAAAAAGGCTAAGCTTTGGAAAGTTAGTAGATAGTCTATATTTGCAAATGGCATAAGGGCACAGACAAGAGCTGAATCTGAATAGACGACACAAACTGGAGATAGAGATCATGACCAGTGTATGTTCCCATATTGGTCAACAGTTTCTCTTGATGAGTTATATAGCATCTGGGATATCTCTATGCTGCCTTCTTTCTAACTCATCCCCTTTCTCCTCACTCTGCAAATGTCCAGCCACCACTCCTCTTCAGATTGCATTAATGACCCCATTTAAATATTTATTGAAAAAATAAAAGCCATTACGTGGGAACTGCTTCCTTCCCAACATCACATCTATGCATGTTTGATGGATGAAGTAAACTTGCTCCCAACTAATGGCATGCTCTGCTTCTGCTCTGCAGCCCAGCTGTCTCACAGGTACTATTTCTGCAATTTTCTCGTATTTCTCCTGCAATTTCTCCCTCTCTACTGGATTATTATCAAGAGTTTACAAAACATCCTCCAGTTGCTTTAATAATAAAACAACAACAACAAAATAAATTCTAAGACATTAAAGAAAGAACAATAAAAGTGGACAGGAAGTTGATCTAGGGTTGGAATCCTATAGAAAAGATTATTGCAGATTTTAGGAAATCTAGAGACTTAGGGAAGTTTATAATTTCAGAACATGAATTTTTGAGTAGGCATGAAACTTTGTGAATAGAGAAGAATGTTGAAACCCTTGAATATTTGTTAGACATAAGAAGAGGCTTTATCTGATTTATTTCTTATAGTCCAAAGAAGATATTGAAGGCAATGAGAAACCACAGTGTTGTTTCGGAGTTCATCCTCCTTGGGCTGTCTGCTGACCCCCAGATCCAGGTTCTGCTCTTTGTGCTGTTCCTTGTTATTTACCTCCTGACCCTGATGGGGAACCTGATGCTCCTGCTGGTGATCAGGGCTGATTCACACCTCCACACCCCCATGTACTTCTTCCTGGGACAGTTGTCCTTCCTGGATCTCTGCCACTCCTCTGTCACTGTGCCCAAGCTGTTGGAGAACCTTCTGTCTGAGAAGAAAACCATCTCAGTAAAGGGCTGCCTGGCTCAGGTCTTCTTTGTGTTTGCCACTGGGGGCACTGAATCCTGCCTGCTTACTGTCATGGCCTATGACCGCTATGTTGCCATCAGCTCCCCTCTGCTCTATGGCCAGATGATAAACAGACAGCTGTGTATGGGGCTGGTGTGGGGCTCATGGAGCTTGGCTTTTCTGGATGCTCTTATCAATATCCTTGTAGCTCTCAATTTAGACTTCTGTGAGGCTCCGAATATACACCACTTCAGCTGTGAGCTGCCGTCTCTCTACCCTTTGTCTTGCTCTGATGTGTCTGCAAGTTTTACTGCCCTGCTCTGCTCCAGCCTCCTGCATTTCTTTGGAAATTTCCTCCTGATATTTTTCTCCTATGTTCGCATTTTATCCACCATCCTGAGAATTAGCTCCACCACAGGCAGAAGCAAGGCCTTCTCCACCTGCTCCTCCCACCTCACTGCAGTGATCTTCTTTTATGGCTCAGGGTTACTCCGCTATCTCATGCCAAATTCAGGATCCACTCAAGAGTTAATCTTCTCCTTGCAGTATAGCGTGGTCACTCCTATGCTGAATCCTCTCATCTACAGCCTGAAGAACAAAGAGGTGAAGGCAGCTGTGAGAAGAATTTTGAGAAAATGTGTCTAGTGTTACAAGTAATAGATTACAAAATCAGAATGATGAGGGGAGAAACTAAATAGAACTGCAGTAAGTAGCGCCTGAATATTAAGGAGAATTTTCTGATATCAGGATCTGCAACATACCTTACATCTTTTCTTTAAAATGGTTAAGAAAAGGTGGAGCTATTTCCCTGGTATGATAGTTCTGTCCTAGTCAGAGGAAAATGGATGGATGAACCTCTTGTCTTACAATTTTTCTTATAAAAATATTTAATTTATAACAGACAGTATGGTAGACTTTGTTATTGCTTGCTTATGTTATCTTTACTATTCTTCCAGTAACTAAATTCCATGTGTTCAGTATAGTTCCAGAGAGACTGTTAATCATGGTGTCCCCAAATCCTCTTTCCTCCCCCACTCATTATTCACTCATTCTTCCTGGCACAGTGGCTGGTATAGGAATGAGCATATGGTCAGTGCCAGACCTTCCACTCCCTTAGGAATTTTAATCTTCAGAATAGATTCAGAGAGGCAGAGGTAAGTCTTTCTGTTTGCAGCATTCTGATAGCCTATCCCAGTGCCCCTGCTGATACGATCACTACTGTTATCATAGATTCTGTACTTTCAAGGCAGATTGATAAACATGAATTAAACCTATATCTTTTTTTTTTAAGATTTTATTTATTTATTTGGGAGACAGAGTGAGTGAGAGAGAGAGCAAGAATGAAAGAGAGAGAGAGCACAAGCCAGGGAAGAGGCAAAGGAAGAGGGAGAACCCTCTGGTTCCAACCATGTTGTCCCAAATGGCATGATCTCATCCTTTTTATGGCTGTGTAACATTCCTCTCTCTATATAACTATATACATATATATATATATATTGGAATACACAAACACACCATATCTTCTTTATCCATTCGTCTATTAATGGACACTTAGGTTGCTTCCATATCTTGACTATTATAAATAATGTTGCAGTAAACATAGGGGTACATGTCTTTTTTAAATTCAATTAGCCAACATATAATACATGATTTGTTTTTGATATAATGTTCAACGATTCGTTAGTTGCATATAACACCCAGTGCTCATCACATCATGTGCTCTCCTTAATGCCCATCACCCAGTTACCCTATCCCCTCACCAACCTCCCTTTCTGCAACCTTCAGTTTGTTTTCCAGAGTTAAGAATCTCATATGGTTTATCTCCCTCTCTGATTTCTTCCCGTTCAGTTTTCCCTCCCTTCCCCTATTGTCCTCTGCACTATTCCTTATGTTCCACATATGAGTGAAACCATATGATAATTGTCTTTCTCTGATTGACTTATTTCGCTTAGCATAATACCTTCCAATTCCATCCATGTCGATGTAAATGGTAGATTTATATATCTTTTTGAACTAGTGTTTTCATTTTCTTTTAGATACCCAGTAGTGGAATTATTGGATAATATGGTATTTCTATTTTTAATTTTTTTTCCTGTTTTCAACAGTGGCTGTACCAGTTTATATTCCTACCAACAGTGCACAAAGGTTCCTTTTTCTCCACATCCTTGCCAGCACTTGTTATTTACTGTGTTTTTATTTTAGCCATTCTGACAGATGTAAGGTGGTTATCTCGTTGTGGTTTTGATTTGCATTTCCCTGATAATTAGTGATTTTGAGCATCTTTTCATGTGTATGTTGCCATCTGTATGTCTTCTTTAGAAAAATGTCCTCTGCCCATTTTTTAATCAGTTTGCTCTTTTGGTGCTGAGTTGTATATGTATTTCATTTTTTTTTTAAAGATTTTATTTATTTATTTGACAGAGAGAGACAGCGAGGGAGGGAACACAAGCAGAGGGGTTGGGAGAGGGAGAAGCAGGCTTCCCGCCGAGCAGGATCCTTCCCGCTCGATCCCAGGACCCTGGGATTATGACCTGAGCTGAAGGCAGACGCTTAACGACTGAGCCACCCAGGCGCCCTATGTATTTCATTTTTAAAGTTAATTCAGTGGCCAGAACCTCTTGTACAAACATCTTTTTATTGGGATCAGTAAGAAAGCTTGTGTTTCAACCTTAAGAATGATGTTTGTTTTGTTTTTGATCAATACCTTTAACTTAAGAATTCTCTTCTAATTATTATATTTTGCTAAGAATTGGTGTAAAATTTTATCAAATGCTTTTTCTGTTTCCATTGAGGACCAGGATTCTTTTCTTGCATTTAATAATATATAGTGTCTGTCACATAAGGCATGCAATAAATACATATTGAATAAAAAATAAATTCATTGAAAGAATCATATGGTTTTATTTTTTATTTTTTAAGTTTTTATTTAAATTCCAGTTAATTAACATACAGTGTAATATTAGTTTCAGGTGTAAAATTTAGTGATTCAGCACTTACAAACAACACTCATTGCTCCTCACAACAAGTGCATTCCTTAATCCCCATCAACTATTTCATCCATCTCCCCACCCTCACCCCTCTGGTAACCATTAATTTGTTCTCTGTAGTTGTTTAGGAGTCTGTTTCTTGGTTGGCCTCTCTCTCTCTTTTTTTTTCTTTTCCCTTTGCTCATTTGTTTTGTTTCTTAAATTCCACAGATGAGTGAAATCATATGGTATTTGTCTTTCTCCGGCTGACTTATTTTGCTTAGCATTATACTCTCTAGCTCCATCTGTGTTGTTGCAAATGGCAAGATTTCATTTTTATGGCTGAATAATATTCCATTCTATATATATATCACATCTTCTTTATCCATTCATCTGTCGATGGACACTTGGTCTGCTTCCATAGTTTGGCTATTGTAAATAATGCTGCAATAAATATAGCGATGCATGTATCCCTTTGAATTAGGGTTTTTGTGTTTTTTTGGGTAAATGCCCAGTAGTGTGATTACTGGATTGTAGGGGATGTCCACTCTTACCACTTATATTCAACATAACACTGGAAGTCCTAGCCACAGCAATCAGGCAACAAAAAGAAAAAAGAAGGCATCCAAATTGGCAAGGAAGAAGTTAAACTTTTACTATTTGCAGGTGACATGGTACTCTATATAGAAAATCCAAAAGACTCTACCAAAAAATTGCTAGAACTGATACAGAAATTCAGTGAAGTTGCAGGATACAAAATCAACATACAGAAATCTGTTGCACTTCTGTATACCAATAATGAAGCAGCAGAAAGAGAAATCAAGGAATCAATCTCATTTACCATTGCACCAAAACCCATAAGATACCTAGGAATAAATCTAACCAAAGAGGTAAAAGATCTGACTCTGAAAACTATAAAACACTGATGAGGGAAATTGAAGATGACACAAAGAAATGGAAGAACATTCCATGCTCATGGATTGGAAGAACAAATATTGTTAAAATGTCTATACTACCCAAAGTAATCTACACATTTAATGCAATCCCTATCAAAATATCACCAGCAGTTTTCACAGAGCTAGAACAAACAATCCTAAATTATATATATATATATATATTTAATACTAAATTGTATCAGTAGGGTTTCTGGTGTTGAAGAATTTTTGCATTACTGATATCACCCTGTTTAGGTGGAGTAGTAAAGACTGAATTAACTTTTGCCAGTATTTAACTTAGCAATTTCCATTTATGTTCATAAATGAGATAGTATAATATTTTTCTTACACTCACCTGGTCTTGTCTTTTCAGCAGCTTTATTGAGATTCTGTTTCACACATCACCAAGGTCACCTATTCAAAGCATACAATTCAGGTCACAGTAGTGGGGTATGGACCAAGTCCTGCACCTCATCCTGGGCGCCGGGGGCACCCTCAGGGAAGGACTGCTATCAGGGAAGCTCAGGCACTACTGCTGACCTGGAAACACTCAAGCCTGTGTGGTGAGGAGTGAGGTTCTGCTGAAGAGCTATAGCAGTAGGAGGCCGTGGAGGCCCTGGTGGGGCAGGTGCTACCCATATGTGAGATGGCTCTGCCCTGGAGCTTTGGGCCCTTGCCCGAGCCCCAATGGGACCTGCACAGAGCCAGCCCAGGGATGATTGACATCAGGAAAAAACCCTTGTAGGCTCTTGGGCAGAGCCCACCTTGGAGGGAGACTCCAAGCATGCTACAAAATATAGTTGCCTACATTTGCTTCTGTGAAAGACAGTCTTGACCTCCCACTCCAAATCCATGTCCTGATCTTTACACAATTGGAATCAAAAGATTTGGGCTATAGCCCAAATGAATTGGACTCAATTTTTTTAAATAGGCAAATTCCTGCCACTCATTTCCTTTGAGCTAGGGCACTTAATTGCCACCTTTTGGCTTGAGAGTTTCCAAAAGGCAATTTTGGTCTCAAGCCTATGTGTATGTGCCCATAGTTCTGAGGTTCAGCCAATGCTGGATACAGAACAGTCAGTGGCAGCAGGGTTGTGTTTTAAATGGTCTTATGCATATGGTGGAAACTGAGAAGCTTGCATATTTTTAGAATTTTGTAAAGCCATTTTATAATAAATGAGAATCTCTGAAAGGAGAAGACAAACAAAACCAAGCATACAATTCAGTGGTCTCTAGCACATTCACAGAGTTGTGCAGCCCTCACTACAAACCAATCTCAAAACATTTTCCTCACTTCAAATAAATTCAATACCCATGCACAGTTACTCTCCATTCTCTTCCCCCAGCCCCTGCCATAGGCAGTCACTAATCTATTTTTTGCCTATATAAATTTGTCTATTCTAGACATCTGATCTTGGCATCACTAGTATGCTTTCTTTCATCTTTGTATTTTCTTTTTTTTATTTAAATTCAATTAGCCAACATATAGTGCATCATTAGTTTTTGATATAATGTTCAGTGATTCATTAGTTGCATATAACATCTTTGTATTTTCTTAATACATTTGCATAAAAAAGGAACTATCACTTCCTTGAAGGTTTTATAAAATTCGCCTTTAAAATTTTGAGGACTTCTCTTTTTGTTGTTATTAGGGAAGGAAAATTTTGATTACCAATTTAATTCCTTTAATAATTAGTGATATATTTGGGTTTCGTATTTGTTCATGAATCAATTTTAGTGATTT